TGCCTCTTTAAGTTGTATATCTTGTTGAGTAGAGGCCTCTTTGGGGTTACTCTCTTCTTCCTCTATTATTCTTTGGCCTGTAGCTTGGTCCATTATTTGAGAGTCAGTTTGTGGTTCTGAAATATCATCTTTAATTTTTCTCCAAGATTTCATATAAGTTTTCATATACTCTGTAGTTTCCAAGATTTTTTCCAGTATAAGTTCATAATCAAGCTGTGGGTAGGATTCCTCCATTTCAGTGGTGAAATAGTCTTTTAATCTTTTAATGGAGGCTGTATTTAATAAAAGTCAACAAATATCCACCTCCAAAATTTCTAGTAGACAAATTCACCACCCAGCTGTTCCAAGTCCTTTATCTTTTCCCTTTTATTATCATTTGAAAGTCAAATCCATCTTCAAATAGCAAAAGGAAATACAATTGCAGTGACACCTTTCACCACAAGATGTCCTCAGTGGACTGTAAAATCTTTTTTCCAAGTTAGTAAAATTTTATCTCATTAGAAAAATAGAAGAAGAAAAACAGGTATCTCCAGCATAATAAATAGAGTAATAATAATGTTTCTTTTTTTTTTCAGGACCCCTAGGTATCCAAAAAATTAAATAGTCAATAAAAAGTTAACTATTTTATTTCTTTTAAGCTCTTCTTTCCCAGATGCCGCTCTCTTAAAACAGGGAAATAGTTCAAAGGCTTTTTACAGGAAAGTAGTTAGGGCAAGGAGAGGGAAGGAAAAGTCTCACCCAGAGAGCCTCCTCGACGGTAGTCGCTCCTCCAGAATGACTTTTTGACCCGATTAGGGGTCTACCGGCAGAGGAAAAACAGCTGGCAAAGAGACGAATCTCTCCATGTGACTAGATGCGCCGCGATCCAGAACCAGAAGTGGATCCATTATATTAATCCATCAAAATTTGTTAAGATAGGACAAGCATTTTCAATGTCCTGTGGAATTTTGGACACTCATGGATGGGATTTATACACTTTTTGTCCTCCATTATTGCATAGGTAAGTGGCATCATAAGATTCTTATATTAAAATGGCCATATAATTATTAGCTTCTATACACTATCTTTGCCACACACAAACATATTTATTGCATATTGTTTCTAAGATAGCATTAACTACAGAACTCCTTCCACTAACTCCAGTCCCCTTTATGAACCAGCATCTGTAAAAAAACAAAAAAAACAACCTTTGGAGCCTTCCTAAATAAATACCAGGTATTAATGAATGTTTGGGTCACAGTTGAAGGTCACTTTGCCCCATTTTCCTGTTCAGCTGTGCCTGAAAGTTTTGGCTAGACTCACTGTACACCTTAGTCCTGTGGATTGACGAGACTGTAGACACTGTTATCCAAGATAATCCCTTTTTCTACATCATAAACATGCCAGGAAGGGAGTATTGCTCCCAGGGATTGCCACCAGTTGTACAAGTTGTCAGGCCTGTTGTCACTCCATGGGTAGCTGAAATAAATATGCTGTAAGAAAGATGGATAATTGCCATGAGCATCAACAATAAAAATAGAGCAGCTAACAAACATATCATTGTGAGCAACCTAATGAGAAAGTGGGTATATTTAAAGTATTTGATAGGTTTCCAACGATTGCATAGAGAACCATAAAGGAATTGCTGAGTTCTCTTATGTTATGATATTTCCCACTTAAAGTATGAGACACTTTTGTTCATATCTTCTTGTTAATAATCAGTGAGTCTATTTGTTTTAATTTCAGGGTTCCAAAAAGGTCCATCTTGTTTAACCAAGATGCATGCATTAAACACTTCATAGATACTCTTATTATCTTTTCCTGAGGGCTGATGCAGCTGAGATAACTTCTTCAGCACCAGCAGCAAAGAGCTTATTCTACTTTGGAGAGATGCCCCAAATATAAAATCTACAATCCTGACTCTGTCATGATCAGCCCATTTACTTTTTTATTTTTATTTTATTTTTGCAGTTTTATAGATCTAATTTTAAAGGCTAGTTATGTAACAATCTCACAAGACATTTCTTTGCAATCAATTAGAGTAGACCATAAGGTAAAATATATGATGTGTATACAAGATAAAAATGTGAAAACAAATGTAGGGGGGGAAACCCTACTGAAAAAAATGTAACTTATGTTTTAACTGTATTTAAAGAATATAAATACTGTTCCTGGTTTGTTCTTTATTAAGGAAATGAAACTAGATTCTGTGGATAAATTATGCATAATTTAGATCGATTTCCAAGACCATAATAAACAATGTAGATATTCTGGTAAACCTATGAGAAACTTTAGGAACCCAGAAAGATCTTAAAGAAGAATAGTTCTTTATGAGCCTGCAAACTATTTTGAGTCTTGATTTAAAATTAGATTAAATTTGTTTTAAGAAATAGACCAATAGTTTTAAGAAATAGACCAAATTGCTCAGTTTTATTTCTGAAACTATTCAATTCACATTGATCAAAGCTGACAAATCTGTAATACTAATTTAAATATTTAATTAAGGTCCATGTGAAGTTAAATAGCATACATAGGAGCTGTGGTGGTGCAGTGGTTAGAATGCAGAATTGCAGGCAGTCTCTGCCCATCGCCAGGAGTTTGATCCTGACCAGCTCAAGGTTGACTCAGCCTTCCATGCTTCCAAGGTCAATGAAATGAGGGCCCAGATTGCTGATGTTGTAAACTGCTCAGAGATTGCTGTGAAGTGGTATATATTGCTTATTGCTAGTCTTTTCACCAGGAATTAAAATTTAAATCCCATATTCATATATAGAAATATGGTCCTACTTTTAAGTAGATATGAACAAAACAAAACATACAATGCAGTGCTATTTTAGTTGTGCTTTCCTAATAGTGAGACCCATTGTGATCAATAGACTTCAAGCAAGCTTTGTTTATCACAGTGAGGCTTGCTTTTGTCACCTCCCTTACTCCCACTGAAATTAGCAAAGCAGGGAAAATAACAAGGTTTAACTTTGAAGAAACTGTACCTCTGGCATTTCTTCACACATACCAGTAATACTGTAACCAGAGTGAGGAATGTGCAAATATGAACGCTAAAGTAATCCTGCAAGCATTTCTGGTATGGATAATTTTTTTTTTTTTATCTCACTCATGGGACACATTTACTCAAAGATAATCAAATGGCAAACACCGAATGGTTTTGATGCAAGCGGTGATTTGGCCCAAACCAAAAGAGGCTGGGGAATATCCCATTTTTCTTCAATGTATTGTCTGTCTTCTGTGCCACTCCTTCTTCTTTTATCTCTGAAACAGCCCACAACGACAAGATACATAGCTTTTACAAGAGGCCTTTTCAAAACAGGTTGAGGGCTACATAAAATTAAGCCAAAGATCTACGCAGTATAATTTCTGACATGAAGTAGGCTGGTGTTGGTACAGCTGCTACTTTCCAGAGCACAGAAGCTCGCCATGACTTTTCCATGTACTAATGAAATACTTGGAAAGTTTACATTATATGAGTATAGGTGGCTTTTCCTAACGTTGATGATGCCAAAATGATGAAATATGCATTGCGATACTGCAACACTGCCTCTGCCTTTTTGTATTTGTGACACATGTGGGTTGCATGTATATAAAATATGGTGCTTCTATCACACCGCATTGCATGTTTTGTCCCTTGACTTTCATTGTATGAATTAACCAGCATGAACGTGGGAAAGAATTATATGGGTTGCTCCATATTAGACAGGGACTCTCTGGCCTAAACTATTCAGATCTTGCATATAATAGCTAAGAATGGATTTGAGGAGTAAATAGCACTTGCATTATTAAGGAAAATGATTCATCTCATATACTAAGTTGAATCCTTTGCATGATGGCATCGGGAGGTATGTGTCTTTATTTTGATGTCATCATGACTTATTTTGAGTGCTGCTGAGGTGATGTCATGAAGAGTTCATTGCGATTTCATTATTACATTTCAGTAAAACATTCCTGTTACCCTATATTACAAATGCAGAGATTGTAAAGAAAGAGAAATGCTAGTATTAAGATCATTTAATGGTAGAAGTAAGGCTTTTAGTAAAACTTCTAGTTCGCAGCTCATTCTTGAGCCACAACCCTCTGCTCATACATAAATTCCACCAAATTCCTCAGAATTTATTTCTGAGTAGAGGTTCAGTTCCTCTCTGTTTAGCACCAAAGAGATCCAGGTTCAAATTCACGCTCAGCAGCTCACTGCATTATTTGGGACAAGTCACTCTTTCTGCTCCCCACCCACTTTCCAGTGTGGTTGCTGTAGGGGAAAATAGGAGAAGGAAGTACGATGGTGGACTTGGCTTTTAAGAAAAAGGGGAATATAAATCTAATTAATAAATGAATAATAAGATCCTGTCTGAGTAAATATGTGGATAACAAAACTTCCCCAAAGTGGTGAATATTTTGTTGATTCCAATTTTATATGATTAAATAAAAATCTAAGAAAGAGAGAGGAAGAAAAACAGTCTAATTCATTAGAAACATTGTTAGCAACTGTCTAAAAAATCATGAACTATATCAAGCAATAACTGTGTTTAATGCAGGGAATAAGAGGAGATAAATTATTTGTGACTCAGAGTTACTCAGTGATACATCTGTGTACCATTTATATCTGATTTTTATTTTAGGTTAAATACCTCTGCATTCTATATTTAATTTCTGATGGCTGTCAGAGCTGTTCTTCCAAATGTCAGACTTTCAAAGTAAAATATAAGCACATAGGAATACAGAGAGTTATGTAACTGAAAATGCAAGCGTGTGGAGATTTTAAATAAATATGTGGTATTAGCAGGAAAAGGATTGTAACTAAGAAGTAGAGTTAATGTCCTTCTCCTTTCATTAAAAACTTGAAACAAAGCTATTGATGCTGATGGGAAGAGGTATTTTTTTATTCCCCACCCTTGTCAGTAACAAGAACTCATGCTATATGATGCCCAACTTTTTTCTATGTTCAACTTTAAATTTAATTGACATTCAATTCTTTTGAATAGAATTAAATTAATTAAATTACCTTACAGAAGAAAAATACTTTGACTTGAATTTTGATCTGCTTTCAACTCCAAATTTGATGCAGATCAGCTCTTGTAAGTACAGGAGCCAACAAGACGTTGAATGGAAGTAGAGTAAGATGATAATATAGTCCTCCTGCAAATAGAAGGCATATGCTCTCATAATATTTGTAAGTATTAATTAATATTCATAGATGATAATATAGATTAATTAATATAATCTAAACAGAGGTACAATGCATTTAACCAGAGTAAAGAAAACTGTAACCAGATAACTTTCGTGCCTGGTCATTCTACTAGGCAGGTGAATTATTATTCCCTTAAAGGATGTGTTGTAATTGACTCAGCAATTAAAAAGTTAATATTTGGGCTTTTTACTAAGGAAGACATTGTTTTCTAATTTTGGTGCCCTTCAGACTATGATCATAAAAGAGTCTCCTTTAAGGATTTTGTAGCTTCAGAAGTTGCTTCCTCTTTGAGTGAACCATGGACATTACAAAGTATTAGCAATGAATGAATGACTCTAAATAGATGACCTTTCTTGGTATTTCTGAAGATGACATTACTGAGGCTGAGACTGCACTTTTCGAAAGATGTACTATTCCTGCTGCCATGACTTTTCCCATAGGTGATACGTCTTGCAGAATCATTAATTTGCTAATGTGAATAACAGATTATTGACTTTTAGAATGTTTGATGGTAAGGACTATCCTCAGCCACTCATAATAATGGGTTAGGCAAGTGATCTCTGGCCTCATAACATTCATTATGTCTACTTTTTATTAGTAGCATTTCGTTTTTGTAATTATAAGTACAAATTATGTAAATTTTGATATATATTTTTAAGAAATGAGAATTGTGCTGTTTTTTTTTAAAAAAGGGAATGTGGATAACCATGACTCAGCTAATATGAAAGTATACATTCATCATATCAGAGTATCATAATAACCTTTAAATAGAAGTCATGTAGAAATGCATGACCATCATCTCTAAATCAGAGTATATGACTATTTTGAGAAGCAGGGAAGACAAGAATCACACTTATTTTTCCTTGTTTCTCTCAGTATAAGAGATCCATAATAGAATATTGATGGCCATATTGAATTAAGATAGGGAGACTCTCTTCCAAGCCCATGCTAAATCATGGAACTGTACCCTCTTTTTTGGAGCATTTTTTAAAATACTTTTGATTTGCTTTCCCCGTAATCATTTTGTTTCAATGATTATCCTATATTGGAGAGAGGTAGCCTAATCAAAATGGGTACATATTTGTTACCTAAGGGTGTAGAATGAAGTAATCAGGAAGGATGCATATGTTGCTTAAGAATATGCAGACTTCTGCCATCTATTCATGTTGTCTCTCTGTTTTTGTGGGTATGCTCTAAGACAACAAAGCAAATGTATAAACTTGGTTCTTAATCATGTAACTAGGACACCTTAGAACAGAACAGTCAACAACATTCCAAACCACTGTCCAGTTACATACCTACAAGATTGTATAAGGAGACATTTTTATGAAACATGTTTTTTGATAGAATTAACCCCATTTTTAGACTCACACTTTCGTTTGCCTGGTTTTTCCACAGCACCCAAGTTGGACCTGCTGCTTCCAAAAAGTGCTAACCTTGTGTCCAGGCATAGGAAAGGCATGGGATGAAGTAGGATGAAGAGTATTAGACCTATGTTTAGAAACAGCCTGACCAGCCAGGTGTAAGCTCCTTGCAACTGCTTTTCTCTGTACCATAATGTTTCTCTTAAGGAAAAGATGGAACATTTCTTACAATATTTCCTTAGCAATTCAACAGTCCAAACCATTCCATTCCAAATTTTCTCTTAGTAAGAAACTATGCTGGGCCATGACAAACAAGCTTACCAACTGTCAAGATTTGAAGGCAGTTCAAATGAGTATAAAGATTTATTGCAACCTTATGCTCTCTATAAGAATCTGAACTACTAACGGTCAAAGCAAATTGGCAGTAGAAAAGAGTCAAAGGAATTCAAAGTGGGCTGGATTTAGATTTCTTCTGGGCATGAAGGGACTCATGACTGATGATGCATTTGACCCTCCATCAGACTCAGTCTGGTCTTCTACACCAACATTGGTTCCTACTACAGATGATTCCATAATCCACTACACATGTATGATCCCACCTCAGTTCAAGGATCATTGCAATGCTTCCTGCTCATCTCACCTATTAAAAGAGGAATAAGCATAGTATGCTACTGCCACTCTGGAAAGCTCTTTGTATATTGGTATTAAGCAGACTGTCAATGAGGTTATTACCTTAGGGCTTCAAGACTAAATAGATCTTTGAAGCAAGTAAACAGCTGTCTTGAAACAATAGAATTTACTTTATGGCCAGGTGACTTATTTCTAAGGTCAATTATTCTCATTAAAGAGCTGTGCAAATTTGATGAGCTCTATAAAAACAAAATCTCTTTCACACAGAGAAATCCTAAGAAACAGATGTGTTACAATTAATCTTAACTGAAACAGCTCTCCTCTAACCCTTTTAGATTAGAGATGTGATTCTCAGTTTCTGCCAGCTTCAAACATCTCAAGTAAGTAAGTAAGTAAGCTATTAATTTCTTTTTAAAAGTGTTGAGTAATATATTCATAGTTTGGCATATGGATAGCAAAGAGAAAAGAAAATGTGCTTTAAATACTGGGCAGGCAAAATAAAGGTTACACTGTGATTTTCTGCATTTGTTTATTTGTTTCTTTAGAAGATGCTGAAGGTAAAAGAAACTCAACATGTAAAAAAAACTTTTGTTTCACAGAAAAAAATGTTATGAAGATTGTGGAGGGGAAAAGTTAGCATAATAATATAGTACCAATCAGTATAAAGCCTTAGAAGAGACACTTACTGTAAGGGGAAAAAATGGTAAAATCCATGACATGAGAAGTGCTTAATTTTGAAAGAGATTTCAGCTTTCAAGGACATATCTCCATCTTAAAGTCACCTCATGAAGTCCAAACCATTCCTGAATATACAGGGCAGTCATGGACATCTAATAACTACAATATTCTGGGCCTGTCAGACATAACCTCACATTATGGCAGGACATCACTAAACCATTCATCCAAGTCTTAGAAATGGAAAGATATATTACAACTAGTGGCCAGATGTTTAGGATCAAATACCAAGAAATCAAATCAAGTCTTTTTAATGTAGTACAAATTATGTCCCTTCGTTCAGGTTCTAATGACTCTAATGGCATTAAATGATCCAAACATCAGTGCAAGGTAACCTTGGATATCACTGCTATATCATGGAGATTACTGACTGCTCTTAGTTCTATCCTTAATTCCCATATTTAGCCTATTAGCATAGTAGAAAAGTGCCTTGTGGCCTTCAGTTTATTTATTTACTGAGCTCTCCTATCAGAAGGGGAAGAGCTATTACCAATGTTAAACAGATGTGCAAACAAAGCATATAAAGGCTACATTGCTCAACCAAGGTTACCCAAGAGCCAAAAGAAAAAAAAATAGATCCATGTTGTTATATAAACTGGTGTTCTAGAAATTAAAGTGCATACATTGCTCACTCATAACGTATTTCACAAAATTGACTGAATACCATGATGAAAAAAATCAACTGTATTTCATTCAGATAGTCTAAGCAAGAATGACTCAACTAATATTCAACAGAAGAAAAACTATAGTAGACTTGCCTTTTCCAGCCAGAACTATTACATTCTTAATCCTAGAATATTCAGCTGTTAGATAGTTGAAGATTTGGGAAAGTTGTAATAGGCTAAGAGAACCTAATTACTCTAACATGCAAACATGAATATGTGTCTTTCTATAAAAAGATAATTTGTTTAATGCAGGCATGTCAAACTGCCGGCCCATGGGCTGAATGCGTCACACTGAAACCATGCCCATCCCATTGCCGGCAATGGGGAAAAAGTCCCGATACATCACGCAACGTCGCAAGTTTGACATGCCTGGTTTAATGCAATGGTTATCCTTTTTTCCAAAAATAATATTTAAGTCTCTTTTTTTTCGGAAGAAGGATGACATCAAGTAGCTTGGAAATATCATTTCTTTTTGCTAAGAAAAAGCAATTGGAGGATAAGACAGACTTGGAAAGGATTAGGGATTTCATTATGCTCCCAATCACTGCTTGTCCACTTCAAAAGGAGCTTGGATGTGATTTTTTTTCTTTTACTGAAAATGCAGCTAGTGGGATAAAGATTATACAAAACTAGAAACAAAAAATGTACCTAAAATGGATATATAGTTTAAAATATAAATATTGTCAAGATAATATTGATTTTGTTAAAGGTATGACATGTGAATAAATATATTATTTTATCAGAAATGGTTCTATATCTAAAATCTTTGGACCATCTAAGTTGTTTACAGTTATTATTATTGCTAAATGAATTATTATCAAGTCAGCGTGGCTGCTAAGTGGTCTTTATTTCTTTCATTCATTTAGTGATAGCTTATCAAAAATAGAAGAATCTCTCTCTCTCTCTTTCGTATTAAATTGCTGGATCTGCAGAGTAGGTGGAGCTAAATCTCATGAGAAGCTTGAGCCCCTTAGAGTAAGGCATTATTTCTCAGCCCATCATGAGTGATCATGGTTTAGGGAAAATGGTCGTTGAGCCCCTGTCACGGTCAGATCACTCTCTCCTTCGGCTGGCCTTTCCTACCGCTACGCCCCACCATGGGGAGGCGGAACCAGAAGTGACAAAATGGTTCCGCCCTAGGCGCCTGATGGACCCTGAGAGGTTCCAGACGGAGCTTGGGCCAATACCTGAGACCTTGACCCGCGGCTCGACTGAGGACCTGGTGGCCGCCTGGAATGGTGCAGCTGCAGGGGCCCTGGACCGGGTCGTGCCTTTGCGGCCCCTCACCCGATGCCGGTCTACCTTGGCTCCTTGGTTTTCCGAGGAGCTGAGGGTGATGAAGCGTCGGAAGAGATGCCTAGAGAGTAATTGGAGGGTCACCCACTCCGAATCCGATCGGAAATTGGTAAAGTCCCATTTGAGGACTTACCTAGTAGCGATAAGAGCGGCGAAACGCAACTATTTCTCCGCTCTTATCGCGTCTGCAGGTAACCGATCTTCCGCCCTGTTTAGGGTGTCCCGCTCCCTCCTTCATCAGAGGGTGCGGGATGTCCC